AAAAATAAAGAAGTGAGAAGAAATTAAAAATGAAGTAAGGAACACTTCTGTTGAAATTAATATTAAGCCCTTAAGCTAATTCAAAGTTTCAAATCTGTAATATCCCAAATTTTCGGGAATATTTAAGTGTAAGTTAGGGACTTGATTGTGAGAAAAGATTGTTTTGGGGCCTAATGTGAATATTTTGAAAGTTGAGGGACTTAAAGAGGGAAGAGTTTTGGATAAGGATGAGTTTCTTTTCTTTTTCTTTTTCTTTCTTTCTTTTCTTCCCAGCCTTGCCCGATTCTGCTCTTCTTCTCCTTTCTTCCCGCTGCAGCCAAAAAAAGAGGGGAACCCAGCCATGCTTGAGAAACTAGTGAGATAAGCTTGGTTTTCTCCTTCCTTTCTTGCTCTAGAACACACATAGAACCCAGAAATCTCTCCCCCCTGCTGGAAAAGCCGGATCTGCCCTGCTCTGCTTTGTCCTTCCGCCGGCTGCTCTTGATTGTGGGTGATTTCTGAGCATTTTTTCGGTAAGAACAGCCCCCAATCCCTCTGTTCTTGCTTGAATTAACTTGGGTCTACCTTAATTGCTCTTGTTCTCCAATTTTGGGTAGTTCCCGTGAGCTTCCCCTGCACTTGCCGCCGGCTTCTCTCCCCCTACAGCTCCGGTTTCTACAGCTGGAGAATTCTGGTATGTGACAGCCTTTTAAGGCTTAAATTAGCCATTTAGTTTGCTGGCTGTGTTGTCCGAATTTGATAGAAAAATAAGGGAGAAATTTGATAGCTTTAGGACCATGATTTAGATTAATTGAAGTGAGATTTATGTGATTGAGTGTTAATTGAGTGATGTGTGATTTTTGGAGAGAAAATCCCGTGAGATTAGCTAGTGTTTTGGCCAATTTGTGGAAGTGGAGTTACTGTTCACGTCGGGTCACTATTCACCGACACTGTTCACCGGTTACTGTTCACACCCCGAGGGCCAACATTTAATGGGAATTTAAATGATTAGTTTGTGATATGAGAACGAATTTGGAGATGTCCGATCATGTGGAAAGTGATGGAAATAGCATTGTGATTAGGAGTGATCCTAATGATGATTTCAGCTTGAATTTATGATAGTCCGGTATTAATTCTGAGGTGTTTTGATTAGGTTCCCGATCGTTCTGTCAGTTAGTACGTGAATTGAGTGCTCGGTTTTATGCGAGTGAGGTAAGTAAATTTATGGTAATGCCCGTACTGTTTTTAAAAGCATGTTTTGATTTGTTTTGAAGTGGTGGCGGGACTAAACCCGTTTTACACGAGCATGACTGATTTGAAGTGAAATGTTTATGTTTTTCATTAAATTGAGCATGCCTACTGGAAAGTGATTGTGAATTGTCCTGATGATTTGAAAGTGATAGTGAATTATGATTTTT